GGCTGGGCTGGCAGCCAGCTCCGGGGTTACAAGTGTGCAGGTGGCCGTACCTGGGTTTTTTTGTGGAAGTGGGGGGATTTGAACTCATGTCCTCATATTTGAGCAGCAAATGCTCTTACCACGGAGCCATGTCCCAGTCCCATGATTTGCTTTTTATGCTTCACATACCGCTATAACTATTTTCATATTCTTTGTGTGAAGTATTTGTTTTATAATTACATCTTATAGAAAGATTTCACTTTTTTAGCTTTTGTCACTTATAAGTAATGAAGCTGGTAGGCAGAATTTCCTTTTAAAAATACTTAGTTTTCATCATTTTTAATCATGCATGTGTGTCTGTATGTGGGTACGTGCACAGGAATGCAGGTGAACACGGAGGCCAGAGGCATTGGATCCCACTAGAGTTGGAATGACATGCTATCGTGAGCCACTTGACGGGGTGTTGGGGGCTGAACTTGGGTTCTCTGCAAGAGCAGTCCATGGTCTTAGTCACGGAGTCATTTCTCCAGCGCCGCAGAATTTTCTTTCAAGTACTTAAAAACAAACAACGATTTTAGTTATAGCCCAAACGCAACTGGACTTTTTAAAGTGTCATAATTATTTTGTTTTGATTTCATGATATCTCAAGGCATCATGAAAATTTTACTAATTAAAACTAAAGTTTTTTTTTTTTTTTTTTTTTTTTTGCACTGCCAATTCCAGAGTCTCGTTGATTAGGAGAGAAACTGTTAGTCCAAAGCTTAATTTTTAAGATCAAGATCTCATGGATTAGAATTCTATCCCATGAGGAACAGTTTCTCACGACAGCAGTGATGATGTTTCTGTTGTTGCTAAAGGACTTGTGTTCATTGTTCACGTTGTTAGTTCATGTCCCTACCTATTTCTACATTAATACATGTCATATTAAGGGGGAATTTCATGTAAAGCTATTTTCATTCAGAATTCTTCCATGAACTAGTTAGTTATTGGTTTCCAGTATGTGAGATTTTAGTGTAGCACACTTACGTTATCAGACTCAATGTTGTTTTGAGAACTCATAGTTATTTTAATGCATAGGTTAGCTATTTCACATTAAACAGAGTCAATCATGCAGCATATGAGAAAAGGAATGGCGAAATTTCCAAAGAAAATTTTCTAATGGTTGTGAAATTTCAAATAAGTCATGAGCAGAATGAGGCATTTACTGAAATATTTTGCTCTTAAAATGTAGCTTTACAGAATAAATATGGTTTCGGAGGGTAGAAGGGAATAGTAGAAACAAAGAATGATGCTTGGTCTAACTCGGCTCTACACAAATTAAACAACATCCAAACACAGAGCTGATGTTTGCGGGCCCACGTTTAGCTCCATTATTTTTAATCTGTACAGGACAGCACGAAAAAAGGTACCAGACTTTTAAAGTTCAACTTGAAATTTTGGCAGTCTGTCTTTCAGTAGAGAAAGCTGGACTCTTCTCCATTGCCCTTGGCAATGAACCGCACAGTGACTGATCTTCATGACCTCACCCAGGAATTTGGCTCGAATGACCAGCTTTAACCAACCTGAAAATAATGCCTCTTTGTCTACTGGAAAATGAACGGCGACAGATCGGCTCTTTCTGCTGTAACCTCGGCTCATCTGACTAGCCTTGCCCATGAAATTCTTAGGGAAGCATGGGATACCATTTGAGGAGTTAGCTGTGTGTGAAAATCTTAATGAACCCAGTCACCTTGTCATTGAATGGCTAAGAGGCAGCTGTCTGAACAGATTAACCATTAAATCCTCGATATGGGGGCAGTTTGACCTCAGTAAACGTATTGTAAAAGACAGAATTTCAGAATATAGTCAATTTTGAAGTCCGAGCCAGGAGCCTGAGCACTGGATAGTCCTGTGAGGCTACGCCTCAGTGAATCGGGGGCTTAGTTAGCCACTGCTACAAAAACAAAAGGTGGCACTACTCTGCCCTCCTCAAAAATCAACACCAACCAGTTTTACTAAATTAAAACCACGTTATACAATCAGCATTAGCTCACGAGTCGCCTCTGTTCTCTGGAGTGCTCAGTCAGTGTCCTCTGATGAACACCGGAGACCCATGGTAGGTAACTAAGAGAAAGGTCTACGTTAACCTTTCTATTATGATTACTTCTGCATATGGTTGTTTTGGTGGTTCTGGGATTCAGAAAACTCCAGAGGGACTAACAAAGACATTGGAACCGTCTTGCCAGAAGAAACTCTGGGAAGTTGATGAGGGGGACGTAATGGGCTTCACACATTCCTAAGAACACACTGCACTGCCAGACATCATTGCAACTGAGTAAGGCAGGGTTAGAGGCAATTCAATGCCTGGAGAAGGGACGCACGTGAATTCTGTGTTGGCTCATTGCAGAGAATGGACACCCATCTCCACCCTGCCACCACTGCCAGCAATTAGAATCTAGGCCTGGCGAACATGATCTATCTTGGTCCACTCAGATGAGGATGAATCCTTCCCACCATGATTGTGATCCCACTGTCAGGGGAGAGACAAACTCTTATTTTACTTAAGACATAGTTACTTTGGCTTTTTGTAATAACTGCAGAATCGACTTCTCAGTTAACAGTGATAGTTGTGAGGGACAGTTTTAAGTCCTAAATAAATTCAAACATAAACTTCAGATATTATGGTGGCAAAACCAAAGTTACATCTTAGGGTGGATTGAATTCATTTGCAACTGTGGCCTCCGGTTTCCAGTCTTGTCTCTAAAACCTGGACTCCAGCTCTCTAAGGCTGCCTCACACCACACACCCCTTCCTCCTTGTTCTAGGAGCTCTGTAAGACCCCTCACACCACACACCCCTTCCTCCTTGTTCTAGGAGCTCTGTAAGACCCCTCACATCACACACCCCTTCCTCCTTGTTCTAGGAGCTCTGTAAGGCCCCTCACACCACACACCCCTTCCTCCTTGTTCCAGGAGCTCTGTAAGACCACTCACACCACACACCCCTTCCTCCTTGTTCCAGCAGCTCTGTAAGACCCCTCACACCACACACCCATTCCTCCTGGCTCCAGGTACTTGGAGCATCCCTCCCAGGTTGTTGTGTATACAGTTTCCTTTTCTGAAATTGAAACATTCCACCCTCAGGGAAGATCTTTATATAGAAAGGTAAACAACTCAAAAGAGCTTCCGGAGAACAAAATCCTCCAATGGCTGGGGCTTATAACTGTAATGAAGCCACGGGCCTTTTGGGGGACTCTGGGATACTGGCAGACTTTCAGACCCCATCTTGCCTAAGTTGTCCGTCCTCTGTATAACTTGATACAGTGTTCCATGGGATCGGGGACAGAAGGGCTCAAGAGGCTTTTGGGCAGGCTAAGATCCTTGTGTGCCCCACCACCCGAGCGTCCCCTTTTGTTACGAGTCACCAGATGTTCAAAAGGTCATAACTGGTGGCTTTGACAGAAGCAACAGACTGTGGTAGGATTTTGTCAGTAACATCGTCAGGTATCATATGCATCTTACCAGACCATAATACTACAAGAATTTTACAGCTGTGCCTGGCCCTTTTATCCAGTGTAGATTGATCTCCCATGCAAGTTCCTTTAGACGCACCTGTATGTCTCTCTAATGGCTCTCCAAATCTGCAAAACACTCAGAGGGTAGCATTGTGTCATCTATATAACAAAACCTTTTTGAGAAGATGGGCAGGACAAGGCAACATCTTGAGCCACCATCCCATAACCAACAGCGGGGTTACAAAGATAACCTCGGTAAAGCCCTCTGAAAGTCTGTTGTCTTCTGTTCTCAGCGGTATCCGGTGACCCCAGAAGTTCATGACTAAGAAGACACTAAGCAGGGGTTAATACAGCATGGAAAGGTTCCTTCAATTTTCTTTTTTTGAGACAGGGTTTTTGCCTGTAGTCCTGGCTGTCCTGGAATTCACTCTGTAGACAAGGCTGGCCTTGAACTCACAGAGATCTGCCTGCCTCCCGAGTGCTGGCATTAGAGCCACATGCCACTGTCACCCCACCTGCCAATTTGTATCAGTTGTTTCCTCCACAAATCAAGGTTGGGTACAAAGCATGAATATGAGGTGCTAACTTAATTAGCTCCCTGTAACCCTCAGTCATTTTTCTGAGCCATTATGGTTCCCTATCCTGGAGGTCTTCTACGGAGCCTCCCTACATTTCTCCACCCGTGATGAGCCCAGTGGGTCTGACTTATCTGCTCAGACCTACCAGGGCCCAGAGGGAACAAAGCCCTGCTCTCCTGTGGGAGCCCACAGAGGCTATCTAGTGAGACCTTACTCAGGGTCAGAGAATCTGAGCTTGCTTTACCCAGCAGGGCTGCATAAGCAGATGATTTGACTATGGGCATGGTTACCAGGTGTTTGGAAGGGTCTCCACTTGGCTGTACGTTATTGCTTTGATCTTGCAAGGGAGAGGTCTTTTGCCTCTCCCCTTGGCATTGTTTAAAAAGCCCTTTTGAATAAAGGAAGAGGCTGTTAGGTATTGACCCAGGCCCTCCTGAAGCTATCCTGTGTTTCTGTCTTTCTTCTCATCATCTAGGTCTATCTGTCTATCTGATATTTCCTCATTCCTCTCTCCTCCACCCAAGAGCCCTTCGATAGGTGGGAGCTGGTCTCCCACGGACTCCCACACTCTCCCCAGCTGCACCTGCTGCCTCTGTGGGTCAGAGTGACCCTGAGTTGGCACTGTGGTTGTGGCTGTAGCTCTTGCCTCTCCATGCCTGATTGTTGGGGAGATCCTGACTGGGCAAACCATCTCCACCTCTACTATAATCTTTTGTCGGAGGTAAAAGTACCCTCCATAGTCTGGGGGAATAGTAACCCACCCCTGGGACAGGCTTGATTGCCATCACCTGTACTATTCTATCTTCTATGACCTGCTCCTCAGGCTTTGATGCCTTCCAACAGGTCCTTAGCACACAATCTGGCTTTCTTTCTTTTTTTCTTTCTTTCTTTCTTTCTTTCTTTCTTTCTTTCTTTCTTTCTTTCTTTCTTTCCTTTCTTTTTAAGTTTAAGTTATTTATTTAAGCCATCTCCTCTTACGAGCAAAGGGATAGAAGATTGGTGTAATGGTCACCATTTGATACAAGGAAAGATGCTCTTTCATGGTTCACACAGAGTAATGGTCCACACCAGTGCTGTGGTCCCTTCCCGTCTGGGGGAAGATCCAGGTTCTCTTTACTCATCTTCATAGCCAGTCGGAAGTGGGTTCGTGTGAGGGTTGTGGAACAGGGTATGGTTACCATCTCCCCAGGGGAAGGGCTTGGTCCTGATGCGGAGATTGGGGTAGGTGATGAACTCAGCTCTCTCGTGCTCTCCTCGCTGCGAGGTGAGGAAGGCGTTGAGCATGCTCATTGCCACCCTGGGCAGCACCACGAAGTAGGTGAGGGCCTTCCACATGCGAGCTGAACCCTCCTCGCCGTGGGAGCCACTCAACATGGGCCACCGTACCCGGGAGGGCCCGGCCCAGCAGCCCGGACACTGAGACGCACACACCACCGCCACCATCTTGGAACTACCACAGTTTGGCTTTCTATCAGTTCCCCCCCCTTAGGAACTCCAACTCGACACAAATCTTGCCACATTTGTCTTCAAGAACCCAGTCAGACTTCTCCCTCGGCTTTACCTTTTTCTTATCTCTAGCTTGATCTTTACTTTGTGGACTCTACACAGGCAACCTCTGCCGCTGCTGCCAACGGTCTCAACCCTTATGCACTAATCTTAAAGACTGTAAATTTTTCTCTAAACCTTTAGCTGTTTCCTCAGCATCTCCGTATTCATGGGGTAGACCCCACTCATCAAGCAGGCCTGCCACCCCATACCACATAGACAAAGACTGCCCTCCTGGGATTCTTCCCACAGACACTCCTAATCCCAATGGCTCACTCAGCTTTAGTGGCATATCTCACTACCTATAGCAAGAACCATGCAACCAGTGTCACAGCACAAAGGCACATGGAAGGACCACTGTATTGGAATTTCCTCTGTGATGCCCCCCCTCAGGCTATTCAGCCTCAGCTGCATGCCTTGCTACCCATAGTCAGGACCATGTACTTGCTCCTCCCCAGCTCACCTTTGGTTCTGTTGTGTCCCTGTTTGGTCATCGTTATGTTGTGTGACAAAACTTTTCCTGGAGGGAGGCTACATACATGTCTCTTCGCCTCAGATAGGGAGCCCATGACAGTCCAAAGTACAGATACTACATGGGTGGAAAAAGACACTCCCAGAGGCCATAAGGTGATTACATGAAAATCCCAGTGCCAGGGGTGGACTCCCTTCCTGTGAGTTGTTGGCGGGGAAGTCCTTGAGGCCCCGCAAACCATAAAAGCTATTGCTACTGCTGTTGGTTACATGCCAAAACTAGACAGTAGGATCCTATTGCTGAAGATTCTGCATGTGCATGCTTTGACTGTAGGACATGGAAAAAATTAAGCTGGGCCTGAACTGGAAACTTCCAGCCTGCTGGCTGGCTTTTATAGTGGCAGAGGTGGGCATGTAGGCTGTTGGCAGAGAACTGTGTGCTAAAACACCCACATGCCAGCCAGATGTACATGTTTGTGCAATAGTGGTTTGGCTATCAGGGGTAAGACCAACAGCCTTTCAGTTGGATGTAAGGCCTCCTCCACAAGAGGGAGTTCACATCTGGTACTAGAAGCCAAAATAACATCTTGTGACTTGGGGAGGTCATAGGTACCAATGGGGAAACAATTTCTATGGTTTTCCCAGATGGATGTGATGTGCCTGTCAAACTGCCTTCTAAACCTGTGTACTTGCACCCATAGATCACCACTGTTGTCAGCCTCAACTCATAACCACTGGTGATGCTCTTGAAAATAAGTAACTATTGCTGTGGCTTAAATCTTAGCCATAGGTAAACATCTATAGTCACCCCCTCCAAGGCTCAGAGGTCATTGCTAAAGGGGTGGTGGTGGTGTATAAAAGCCGTAGGAAGAGATGGCACGTTGTGTAACAGTTTCCTCTAAAATTACAACATTCCACCCTGCAGGGAAGTTCTTTAAAGTGGAAAGTAAACAACCCTAAACAGCTTCAGGAAGTCCCTAAAACTAACTAGATTCACTAGGGCCCTCCTTGCCGGAGCAAACAATAAAAGCTGAAAGTCCTGCTCAGAGAAGTGGAGTAAGGAGGCAAAAATGAGTCTCTGACAAACCAAGCAACAAAAAACACCCAGAAAAGTCAAGTGACAAAGAAGACTTTTTGAAACCAGAACAGCTTGCCTGGAAGAGACAAAAACCAGCTGAGCTGCCTGGAAGAGGCATAGACCAGTGTTACTTAGAAAAGACATTCCCCAACCTGTTGAGCTGCCGGCAGGCTGTGCGGGATGCTCCAGGCTTCCAGCTTTGTGAGCTGTCACCCATGCTAGGTGGGCATTGGTGATGTAGCTGTCTTTGAGTCATTTCTGCTCCTGTAAGTAAACCCTCACCCATATTCCTGCAAGTAACTCCAGTAAAAGTCACTGGTTCATCAAGTTGGACGTTGGTGGTATCCATACTTTGGTCTGTCATGGGCTCCCTATCTGGGGTGAATAGACATGTGTATAGCATCTCCCCCAAAAAAGTTTTGTCATACAACACACATCCCAGTAGACATTCCCCTGCCTGCCAGATGTTTGCAGAGTCTAGACCTGGGGGTGGCATATGAGCACATGGTTTAGCTTTTTCATTATTGAATGGCTGCCTAATTGTGAAGATAGGAAGCCAGAAGTTTATGAGGTGCCAAAAGAAAAGGGCATCGAAGGCAGACTGAAGAGAAAGTGCCTCTGGGGAGGGCGCGTCCAGAACCATTCTTACGATTGTGTGGGTTGTGTGCTCCACACGCTCTTGAAGAGAGTGGAGATTTATCGATTCTGAGATTCTCCCAGCAAGTGTTTGTGGAGAGTGAAGGGTCTCTTTTCCTAATGTGTGCACTGAGAGCATTAATGTTAGGTGGGGGTAACACTCAGGCTGGGGCTAAAAACCGGAGAGTGGGAAAACATCTTGAAGGCAGAGAGAATGTGCATTGTTTGCAAAAAGCAGAACATTAACTTCCCTTTGGTAAAAATCCAGGAGTCTGGAGTACCAGGAGTACTTGAGTTTTGTGTATTTGTTTTTAATTTTTAATTTTACTTATTTTTATGTGTGCATGTATATGGTGTGTGTGTAATGTATGTGTGTGTATGGTGTGTGTGTGTGTGTGTGTGTGTGTGTGTGTGTGTGTGTTTGTGTGTGTGTGTGTGTGTGTGTGTGTGTGTGTGTTTGCCATAGCACACATGCAGAAGCTAGAGGGCATCTGTATGGTAGGTCCGACCTTCCTCTTTGTTTGAGGCGGAGTCTCTCTTGTTCACTGCTGTGTGTGGTGGGCTGGCTGGCCCGTGGCTTCCTACAGTTCTGTCTCTCATCTCCCAGTAGTGGCGCACTGTGATTTCAGATGCTTGCACTACCACGTCTAGATTTTCTGTGAGTTCTGAGGATCTGCATTCAGCTCTTCAGGCTTGCACACACCGGGCCAGCTCTCCAGACCTGGGCCTAAGGCTTCATATAGGAAAAAGGGTTGTATACCTAGCTATTTTTACAGCCTTTGGGAAAACAACAAAGGAAAGATGACATATGCCTGTTAAAGGTACGTGGTTGGAAAGTTCCTGAGATGCTCAGTTACCGTGCAGAAAATCCTACACACCAAGATGGTGAGGGGATGGAGTGGAGAGACTTCCAGTATCCTATTTAGACCATTTTAAAAAAGTTTTATTTTGTGCCATTTTATTTTTAAGAGAAGCGGAAACTATCCTATATTTTAGATATTTTCAGAAATTGAGAGGAGTGGGAAATGATAAGATTTCACTAAATTTACCCTGATGTGATGTTTGTAAACACTATGTGACAGTCTGTCTCAGTGTTTTGAGTCAGTTGCTCAAGTCAGGTTAGGTCCTACAGCCAGGCTTTGCTGGTGAAGCACTATTTTTGAAATTGACATTAGTTGTCAATATTTTAAAAAAAGTTTGGGGGCTAGAGAGATGGCTCGGTGATTAAGAGCACTCGCTGCTCTCCCAGAGGATCCGGGTTCAATTCCCAGCACCCACATGGCAGCTCACAACTGTCTGTAACTACAGTTTCGTGGGCTCTGATGCCAATACACATAAAATAAAATAAATTAACAAAAAAGTTTGACCGGGGGAGGGGATGTCTCAGTGGTAAAGCATTTGCCTACCATATGTGAAGTTCTGGATTCAATTCCTGTGCCTTTCTCACATATACACACACAAGAAAGGCTTTGAAGGGCAGAGGATGTAACTCAGTGATAGAGTGAGTGCTTGCGATATGCAATTCTAGGACTGATTCCAAGCATCCATCCATCCATCCATCCATCCATCCATCTATCTATCCGTCCATCCGTCCGTCTGTCCTCCAGTCAATGAAATTAGCACCTGATGCTTCAGTTTTGAAAACTGGAAACTATAACATGGGACTCAAGTTCTTTTGTAGGAGGAGTACAGTAATGCAATGGTTAATCTTTACATCAACATGGCTAGATTTAGAGCCACCTAGGAGACACATCCCAGGTTGTGTCTGTGAGAACATTTCCAGAGAGAGACTTATTTGAAGAGGGAAGACCTACCTTAAATGTAGGTAGCACCATTGGCTGGGGCCCCAGACTGTGTGTGTAGTGTGTGTGTGTGTGTGTGTGTGTGTGTGTGTGTATAAATCAAGCTGAGCCATTCATCTCTCTGCTTCCTGACTGTGGACACAAAGTCAACAGTTGCCACCATGTTCCCACCACCATACCAGCCCCACCATGATGGACTGTACTCTCTGTACTCTCAGACTGTGAGCCCAAATAAATCCTCCCTTCCTTACACTGCTTCTGTTGGGCATTTTGTTAAAGCAAAAAGAAAAGTAACTGTCTTATTTTGGGTTTCTGTTGCTGCGAGAAGACATCATGACCAAGGCAACTCTTACAAATGAAAACATTTAATTGGGGTGGTTTTAGAGGTCCAGTCCATTATCATCTGTTGTGGAATATTATTTTAAGGTGTGTTACTTTTTTTAATCATAAACAATAAAATTCACTGTATATTAAATACATGTCATATATGCTGCTTGAAGATACATGTACATAGCTTACATACTACGTACATTGAGCCAAGGATACCTGAGAAGGCAAACAAAATACATTCTAAAGAAATTATAACACAAAGTATTATAGACATAATAACATAATCACATACACAGAAACAGACCCACAGTCCGTGGCTTTGGTTGATGTTCTAGGCCACATGCCCTATCCATAGGGAGAAATATGATTGTAGTTTCAGTGTATTGTTAATCAGTGAAGTATCCCTTGAGCATCCATGCCCATTTCTGTCCTCTGTGCCCTGGAAGGAATGAAGAGATGGAGCTGCCATCCCATCTCTGGGTAGCTCTCAAAGAGTTGGCAGTGCAGGCCTC